TACACTATCATTTTAATTTATTATGAATTATGATATTAGTTATGTCTAGAATATTAGATGTTTCTGTAAATACTTATAATAGTATTTAAATTAATATATAAGTGCAGTTTCTAGTTGCTGTTAACTTCGTGGCTCTTTACAGATGCTATGAGTTCTGGAATCCAGCGTGAGATTCAGAATGCAAGACTCCAACAGCCGTTTACTTTAAACTGTACCTACAACTGTTCCAATGGCTTCATTCGTGGTAAATGGACATGGGAAGACACTCCAGCTTGTAGCAAGTGCCACTGGGATCATAAGATGTCAAAGTTAGGAGATGTGTGCACTGTGAGCTTGTACATACCTCATCTAATTATGGAGCAAACACGTTATAACTATTCTTGCTTTTCCGAAGAGAGTGACCACCCGGGCCTTCCTCGTAAAATGGAGCTTCTAGTAACACTGCAAGTTCATGGTAAGAGGTGTTTGAGTTTACTGCTAACAATGAATAACATACAGTATAATGTTTTAAAAAAAAAAATAGAATAGTTCACCCAAAAATGAATATGTGACCAATTAAGAGTCAATTTTTCAAAATTGAGATTTATACATCATCTGAAAGCTGAATAAATAAGCTTTCCATTGATGTATGGTTTGTTAGGATAGGACAATATTTGGTCGAGATACAGTTTTGACTTTACAACTATTGAAATTCCAACTATTTGAAAATCTGGAATCTGAGGGTGCAAAAAAATCTAAATATTGAGAAAATCGCCTTTAAAGTTGTCCAAATGAAGTTCTTAGCAATGCATATTACTAATCAAAAATTAAGTTTTGATATATTTATGGTAGGAAATTTACAAAATATCTTCATGGAACATGATCTTTACTTAATATCCTAATGATTTTTGGCATAAAAGAAAAACCTATAATTTTGTCCCATGCAATGGTTTTTTGGCTATTGCTACAAATATACCCCAGCGACTTAAGACTGGTTTTGTGCTCCAGGGTCACATATTTCCTGAAAATTTAGTCACCCTCAGGCCATCCAAGATGTGGATGAATTTGTTTCTTTGTCAAGAACAGATTTGGAGAAATTTAGCATTACATCACTTGCTTGCCAATGAATCCTCTGCAGTGAATGGGTGATGAAAACAACTGATGAAAAAGTTACAATAATCCACAAGTAACACACGACTCCAGTCCATCAATCAGTGTCTCATTTGTAATAAACAAATTCATTAAGATGTTCTTTTATTTTTAACTTTCAAAGTATTTTTCCTCCATCCATTGCTTACTCCAGTGAAAAAAAGTCGTCTTGTCTGAATCAGGAGAGAAATATACACAGATCAAGCACCATTTGCAAGCAAAAACTGTCCAAAACAGTTTTACACAAATATGTCAGTGGATTTTGATGTGACAACAGGGAATGGGTTTTTTCACTGGAGGAAGCGTTATTATGAATTATGGCCTATATTTTTTTTGCCTTAAGTGATGGTGTGAAACTAAAATGCATTAATGGTGGATGTTTTTCTTAAAAACATGCATCTTTTCATTTCACAAGACGTTAGTTGATGGGCTGGAGTCGTGTGGATTACTTGTGGATTATTGTGATTCTTTTATCAGCTGTTTGGACTCTCATTCTGACGGCACCCATTCACTGCAGAGGAGAAATTTAGCATTAGATGTAATGCTGAATTTCTCCAAATTTGTTCCAATGAAGAAACAAACTCATCTAGATCTTGGACAGCCTGAGAGTCAGTGATTTTTCAGCAAATTTTCATTTTTGTGTGAACTATTCCTTTAATTAATCTCAGGACTTTTCTTACCATTTCTGCAATCATGCTTTATACAGATGGAGCTGAAGAACAAGTAACACCTCCTAAAGCCGGTAAGTCTATAAGTTATGGATCTGTAAGGATAGTTCTACTCACTGTACTATTTCTAAGGCCATTATTGATTTGTATTATTGTTTTGAATGTTGTTTTACTTGTCTAGATCCATCTCTGAGAGTAAAGTTGTATAGGGGTCAGACAGATTCAGATGAGGTGTTTACATCATTTTCCATTGAAGTGATGGCAGGAACCTCACTCAAACTTCACTGTGTCGCCCCTGACAACAAGCACTGTGAGGTGCAGTGGGTCAGAGAAAACAGTACCCTCCCCTTGACCAAAATAAGTGACACCATAGTACAGTGGAGTGAAATCAAAGCAGAGGATAGTGGACAATACAGGTGCCACACCAAAGGGACCTGCACTGACCAGGCTATCACTGTGGAAATAGAGGTCATCACATCGGGTGAGTGTTTTCACACTTCCAAAAATACATCAACCCATTTTCAGATTCACATACAACAAAGTCCATCAAGTCAGCATTTTGCCATACAGATGGATTCGCCTGGGCCAAGATCTTTGCAGCTTTTGCAGTGTCTGCAGTAGTTATCCTGACGGCCCATCTGGTGTATTTGTGCTACAGAAAAGGATGTAAGATCATGGATTCTGCAAACATAGTCCATGAAAGGTAATGCACAATTTTATTTGGAAAATGTATCATTATGAAACAGCAAGACATATCAAATCTCTTTCATTATCTGGTTTCTTTTAGGGTTACATCCAGAAGTGCTGTGGTGATAAGGCCAATCGCTCAAGGTCTTTCTCAATTTATTATAAACATAAAAATACAATAATATATGTATACTACCTGTCAAAAGTTTGGAATAATTACCATGTTTTTGAAAGAAGTCTGTTATGCTCACCAAGGCTGCATGTTTTTGATCAAAGCTACAGTAAAAAACAATAATATTGTGAAATATTATTACAATTTTAAAATGCTGTTTTCTGTATTAAGCTGCACAACTGTTTTCAACATTGATAATAATAAGAAATTTTCTTGAGCATCAAATCGGCATATTAGGATGATTTTTGAAGGATCATGTGTATTTTAAAATATATTAAAATAGAAAACATTTTAAATTGTAATAATATTTCACAATATTACATTCACAGTAGTGTATCTGGGACTGGCGGTAACATTCAAGAGTTAACTGGTCAATATAAAACATTTTTTTAAATGTATTATTTAATCCCACAGATAGCCAGAGTGATCATGAAGTCCCTTATGCTGACATTGTGATCTCCGTGAGAGGATCCAGCAACCCGGATCTATCTGGCACCTTTAACCAGACTTCAAAAAATCAAAGACCAGTGAGAATTAATATTATTCAAATATTCTTAAACACACACACACACACACACACACACACACACACACATACACACACACACACACACACAGAAAATTATTCAGGTAGTCTTCACAGGTTTGTTTAATCTCATGGGACCAGATGTGTGACAGTGTGAATGTGTTTTGCAGAGATGGAGAGATGAGGCCAGAGCAGGGCTACTGCACGCTTCAGCTGACAGACTGCACATCCACTCGAAAGAGGTCACTAGGAAATTAAGCACAACGTCTGAATATGCTGTAATTACCTACTCCTGTGAGGCTCTTAGTTAGTTAGCTACTTCAAAAAACTGCATATCTGATTAAAAAAAAAAATAGAAGGCAAAATGTGAAAATTGTGTATAGCTGTCTGCCTAATTTATGTTGTCTGTAATTAAAAAAACTGTAAAACTTTGAATGTATGTGTGAACTTGTGTGTGTTATGCTTTTACAGGCTTGAAGGAAATAATTACTGCATTACATTTGCTTTGTAGCTCAATTTCTTTTTTTTTCTTTTTTTACTGTGTCGGCAGATTTGCCTTTTTTGACCAGGAAGGTCTGTATGAATGGTTTTAAGTAATTTGTAGTCTTAAGTCTAAAGTCCAATTCCACAATAAATAAATAAATAATAAAGACCTTAATCACCAGTTCAAAACCCTCTAAATTGTTATTATTTTTGTCAATTTAAGGGACATTCTATACCAGAAACGTACATTTTCACTTCTTGGGTGAAAAAAATATCTTATTCTTAAATCTGAACGTTGAGTCATATGGAGGACATGTTAATCTATATGAAACACATATCATGCCATCTCAGCATGTTTTTATGATTGAAATAAATACATTTTATACACATTTCACCCCTAAAATGTCAGGCCCTGTCACAGACAAATTTGTATATGTTAGAATGGTTTTTGGCTATTGCTACAAATATACCCCAGCGACTTAAGACTGGTTTTGTGCTCCAGGGTCACATATTTCCTGAAAATTTAGTCACCCTCAGGCCATCCAAGATGTGGATGAATTTGTTTCTTTGTCAAGAACAGATTTGGAGAAATTTAGCATTACATCACTTGCTTGCCAATGAATCCTCTGCAGTGAATGGGTGATGAAAACAACTGATGAAAAAGTTACAATAATCCACAAGTAACACACGACTCCAGTCCATCAATCAGTGTCTCATTTGTAATAAACAAATTCATTAAGATGTTCTTTTATTTTTAACTTTCAAAGTATTTTTCCTCCATCCATTGCTTACTCCAGTGAAAAAAAGTCGTCTTGTCTGAATCAGGAGAGAAATATACACAGATCAAGCACCATTTGCAAGCAAAAACTGTCCAAAACAGTTTTACACAAATATGTCAGTGGATTTTGATGTGACAACAGGGAATGGGTTTTTTCACTGGAGGAAGCGTTATTATGAATTATGGCCTATATTTTTTTTGCCTTAAGTGATGGTGTGAAACTAAAATGCATTAATGGTGGATGTTTTTCTTAAAAACATGCATCTTTTCATTTCACAAGACGTTAGTTGATGGGCTGGAGTCGTGTGGATTACTTGTGGATTATTGTGATTCTTTTATCAGCTGTTTGGACTCTCATTCTGACGGCACCCATTCACTGCAGAGGAGAAATTTAGCATTAGATGTAATGCTGAATTTCTCCAAATTTGTTCCAATGAAGAAACAAACTCATCTAGATCTTGGACAGCCTGAGAGTCAGTGATTTTTCAGCAAATTTTCATTTTTGTGTGAACTATTCCTTTAATTAATCTCAGGACTTTTCTTACCATTTCTGCAATCATGCTTTATACAGATGGAGCTGAAGAACAAGTAACACCTCCTAAAGCCGGTAAGTCTATAAGTTATGGATCTGTAAGGATAGTTCTACTCACTGTACTATTTCTAAGGCCATTATTGATTTGTATTATTGTTTTGAATGTTGTTTTACTTGTCTAGATCCATCTCTGAGAGTAAAGTTGTATAGGGGTCAGACAGATTCAGATGAGGTGTTTACATCATTTTCCATTGAAGTGATGGCAGGAACCTCACTCAAACTTCACTGTGTCGCCCCTGACAACAAGCACTGTGAGGTGCAGTGGGTCAGAGAAAACAGTACCCTCCCCTTGACCAAAATAAGTGACACCATAGTACAGTGGAGTGAAATCAAAGCAGAGGATAGTGGACAATACAGGTGCCACACCAAAGGGACCTGCACTGACCAGGCTATCACTGTGGAAATAGAGGTCATCACATCGGGTGAGTGTTTTCACACTTCCAAAAATACATCAACCCATTTTCAGATTCACATACAACAAAGTCCATCAAGTCAGCATTTTGCCATACAGATGGATTCGCCTGGGCCAAGATCTTTGCAGCTTTTGCAGTGTCTGCAGTAGTTATCCTGACGGCCCATCTGGTGTATTTGTGCTACAGAAAAGGATGTAAGATCATGGATTCTGCAAACATAGTCCATGAAAGGTAATGCACAATTTTATTTGGAAAATGTATCATTATGAAACAGCAAGACATATCAAATCTCTTTCATTATCTGGTTTCTTTTAGGGTTACATCCAGAAGTGCTGTGGTGATAAGGCCAATCGCTCAAGGTCTTTCTCAATTTATTATAAACATAAAAATACAATAATATATGTATACTACCTGTCAAAAGTTTGGAATAATTACCATGTTTTTGAAAGAAGTCTGTTATGCTCACCAAGGCTGCATGTTTTTGATCAAAGCTACAGTAAAAAACAATAATATTGTGAAATATTATTACAATTTTAAAATGCTGTTTTCTGTATTAAGCTGCACAACTGTTTTCAACATTGATAATAATAAGAAATTTTCTTGAGCATCAAATCGGCATATTAGGATGATTTTTGAAGGATCATGTGTATTTTAAAATATATTAAAATAGAAAACATTTTAAATTGTAATAATATTTCACAATATTACATTCACAGTAGTGTATCTGGGACTGGCGGTAACATTCAAGAGTTAACTGGTCAATATAAAACATTTTTTTAAATGTATTATTTAATCCCACAGATAGCCAGAGTGATCATGAAGTCCCTTATGCTGACATTGTGATCTCCGTGAGAGGATCCAGCAACCCGGATCTATCTGGCACCTTTAACCAGACTTCAAAAAATCAAAGACCAGTGAGAATTAATATTATTCAAATATTCTTAAACACACACACACACACACACACACACACACACACACATACACACACACACACACACACAGAAAATTATTCAGGTAGTCTTCACAGGTTTGTTTAATCTCATGGGACCAGATGTGTGACAGTGTGAATGTGTTTTGCAGAGATGGAGAGATGAGGCCAGAGCAGGGCTACTGCACGCTTCAGCTGACAGACTGCACATCCACTCGAAAGAGGTCACTAGGAAATTAAGCACAACGTCTGAATATGCTGTAATTACCTACTCCTGTGAGGCTCTTAGTTAGTTAGCTACTTCAAAAAACTGCATATCTGATTAAAAAAAAAAATAGAAGGCAAAATGTGAAAATTGTGTATAGCTGTCTGCCTAATTTATGTTGTCTGTAATTAAAAAAACTGTAAAACTTTGAATGTATGTGTGAACTTGTGTGTGTTATGCTTTTACAGGCTTGAAGGAAATAATTACTGCATTACATTTGCTTTGTAGCTCAATTTCTTTTTTTTTCTTTTTTTACTGTGTCGGCAGATTTGCCTTTTTTGACCAGGAAGGTCTGTATGAATGGTTTTAAGTAATTTGTAGTCTTAAGTCTAAAGTCCAATTCCACAATAAATAAATAAATAATAAAGACCTTAATCACCAGTTCAAAACCCTCTAAATTGTTATTATTTTTGTCAATTTAAGGGACATTCTATACCAGAAACGTACATTTTCACTTCTTGGGTGAAAAAAATATCTTATTCTTATTATTTGTAGAATTTATGTTTAATTTCATGTTTTTAATCAGTTGATGTGAATGATAACAACTTAAACTTGTTACTGATGGAGTTTTCTTTTCTAAATAACAGTTTTTAGCATAACAAAACTATGAAAGCTGTAGGTCCAATTTGGCTGGGGACAAGGACAAGAACAGTATTTGTAATTTTCAAAAGTGTGTTTAATAAATTAAAAAATATCTGAGAACCTAATGAATGACATATTCCTTTACAGAACAACTCACAGAAATCAACCATCAGTCAGTTTTAGACATTTTTTGGATGTAATACTTTTTCATTACATCCTAGTCAAGGACAGATAATGTACATTTCTGGTAGAATGTCCCTTAAGGAGGAACTTAACCCAAACCAACCTATATACCCTGTTTGTTAACTTATTGCAGAGAACTGTGGCCTTATACTGATTAAAACTTAGAAATTCCAAAATGAATTTGTTCATACCACACATTTTGCGAGCTTTGGACTCTAAAAGGTGGTTATGCTATTTATATGTCCAAAAATATGATCATATTTACCTGCTTTTGTACACGTTTTGCAAAGAACTGACAGAAAACACGAGACACACGACAAGACTGTGAGCAGGCATGTTTCTCAGGTCGATAATCTCGATCGTCAAGCATTTATCAGTGACACTGAGCAATGGCTCGTAAAACCCGAGCAAAACGAGTCTAGCTTCGAACAAATGTTATGGGATGCAGTTATGGCGTCATTTGTTTGGCATGTGTTATAGTTATGCAAATAAGGAATTAAACTTGTAAATCATAGCTTAATGATACATAGCATTTCTATATAAAAATGCTGCTACCAAAGTCACTAGACCTGATCTTTTATTTTAATATTTGACAATAAAATGTATCAAATCCCGGCGGGAGTCCCCAGACCACTTGAAATATTTGATACCTGAGAGACCAATACCTACAGTATTATATATATATATATATATATATATATATATATATACTGTGTATATATATATATACTAGCAAAAATACTACCCATCCATTTATATTGCATGTGTAAGTAGCTACACAAAATACTGGTGTATCCTACTAATGTTTTTCCTTTCGAACAAGCTACTTACTTGAATGTGAAACGTTTGACCCTCTCTGCTTTCGGTAGTTGGAACCACGTGCCGGTTGCATAGCAACAGTTCACAACATTCGACTCGTTTAGAACGGTAAGAAATATCACTCCAGTACACCTGCAAAATGATTACATATATATTGACTATCGATTTAGCAAAACAAGAAAATATGGGCTTGACATCACAAGTGTTACAATATGTCTTTCATTTTACAGAGAGAAAAGGCCAGTCTGTCTTTCATTTAGATCATTTTAGCAGATCATATGTAATGTGGTGTAGCCTATCATGCAGTAAAGCTAAATGAGAAAAGCATCTTCTTAATGAGAAAATCACAGTTTTAAATTATTTTTGTAATTATGTGGAAAACATTGTAAATTAGCCATTAACCACCATCAGCACAATTGACGTTTAATAAACATGTCTTTTCCTTCATTAAACTCAGACCTGAGAGCTGTATAAGATGTCTGTTCCCTTCTCCAACACAAACCTGCGGATCCCTAGAGGCTTTGGGAATTTATTGGAGGGTCTTGCTAAAGAGGTGTTGAGAGACCAGCCTGAGGACATCCCAACCTTTGCTGCTCTCTACTTTACAAAGCTTCTTAAAGCCAGAGAAGGTGACTGAGATGTTTTCCTTTGAACCTGATGTTTAATAGTTTTTGATGACATATGAATGACTCATATATGAGTTAGTCATTACATGCTTATACAGCATGCCTTTGTCCAAGCCATGGCAAAGTTGTTTTGTTTGAAAGTGCTTGTATTATTAGATCAACTATACTATATCAATGCATGCTTGAAAAGAATAAATGTACAAATGAATGTATGCCTTGTTCCAGAAAGTGGCCTAGACTCAGCAGAGTGGGTTGCAAAGTTGGAAGACAGATTCTACAATAATCACTCATTTAAGGTAGCAAAAATAAATAAATTTTGATTAAAAATAAGGCAACACTTTCTGAAACTTTAGATTATACTAGTTTCTTCTAATGTGGTGTTTGTGTTTTTGTTCTTCTCTAAACAGAGCACAGCAATACAAGGAAACTACATTTCACCTAATATAAATACAAGGTCTGTGAATAAGAAAGTGTGATTTCACTCTTTCACTCCCCCTAACTGTTTTCCAGATGAGAGAACAGCCAAGATTGAAGTGAAGCAGTGTGAGATTTTAGATGAAAGTGTAGACAATAAAACTGAAAATTACTCATATAGGATTACGATTTCCTTGATTCTGGTCATAAATTCTTGCAGTGCAGCAGTTTTATAGAAGATTATAGCAGGATGAAGTTTGACGAGTGGCTCTCTGTTTCTGAGGCAGGGCTTCAATCATTTGATCAAGCAGAGGGCGGCTTTTGGAGGATTGATTGTAGTGTCAGAGCACAGATATGCATCTGGGTTGTACATTAAGATTCATTTATCACTCCTGTTGTACTTGTTTGTGCTTCTATTTACTTACATTATCAATCACTGTTGCATATAAAAGTATCCTTGCCTTCTTACATGTCCATTTTCAGAAACGACGCTGGCCATTTTGAAACTTTGGGAAACAATGAAACCCTAAGCTCCCCATTGAAAGACCTCAACGTTAATAATTCAGAGGAAACTGAAGTAAAGCAAAAATATGAGTTAGATAAGAAGTTCGATGAGGAATCCGGTGAAAGGGAACATGGATCTGCTGCTGATATTCCCTATGTGGGAACGGCAGATGTTGATATATGTGCTCAGGAGATAAAAGACCCCAGCGGGATTCCAGTACAAACATCAGAGGTACTGAAGGACGAAGAGGTTGCAAAAGAAGCTGTAGATATTGATATCTGCAGATCAGAACTTGAGCCTACACCTTTGCCTTCCTTTGGTGGTCTCGCAAATGTGGATGTATGTGCTGAAGAGATAAACCGCCTGTCTGAATCTACTGAGAACAAGAGAGATTTGGAAAGCCCAGAATTAAATGAAGAACCATTTGAATCACAAGATGAGTCTTTTGTTGAAACCCCTTCACATATTGAGCAGGATGTAGGCAAACAAGCAAATGAAATCGCTGATGATGATGATGATGATGATGATGATGATGATGATGATGATGGCCATGCTGAAGATGCTGAACAGGGAGTTTTAGAAATGGCTGATAATTTATTACAAGACACTGATCCAGAGGAGAAGAGCACTGAGCAGATTTATATGGAGGAATCAGCTGAAAGTACTACTGAAAACACAGTTGAAGCAGAGCAGGAATCAGAGGAACATATTGAAGAAAAAGATGACTTACCGGACAATGAAAACCAGGAAGAGACCAATCATGAGTACAACAGCACCAATGACTTTGTAGAAGATGCAGCCAATTCCACATCTGATATTAATAGTAGATCATTGATGGAAATGAAAGACACATACATTGACTACAGTGATGAAATGTATGACAGTAAAAGCGAAGTCATAGATGTTCTAGATGAAGTGCACCATCAGTGCTATACTCGTACAGGTGAGCATGAAGCTGAGCACAGCACTGATCAACATGATAATACCTCTAAAATGATCAATGAAATGAAGGAGGAAACCCCAAAGCTAGTTTCCCAAATGAACGACAGTGAAACAGAAGACACAGAGGACATGATAAGCAATGAGATTTTAAATACTGATGTAATCGATGCTTCTGAGAAAGATCTAAACTCAGAGAACGTAGATGAAGGGAGTGATCTTGACAGTGATGGCTGTGTTGCTGAAGAGATGGATCTGGACATTTTGAACATGCCTGATCAAAATATGGTAAAAACTGAAGATGAGGAGAATGGTTTAACCCATGATACTGAATCAAAGGAAGACATTTTGCCTTCTGAAGCTGAAGAAGCTGATACCAGGCCTTTAGAGGGAGAAACAGAGGTTATCGGTGAAGAACAGCCTACAGAGTGGCAAGAAAAGACTGAAAACACTGAGAATGACACAGACCAAGAGGATCAGTTGGAGGAGCAAAGGAAAAAAAGCCAGGAATCAACACTTGAAAGTGAGAACCGGGAGGATCCTGACAGCAAAAAACAAAAGGTAAGGTATTTGTGTTTGTTTCTTTTCTTTTCTTTCACCCCCTTCTCATTTGGTAAACAAAAATATGGTATTTGTATAAAAAATATGTGTGATGTGAAATATAAATTTAATATACATTTAAATAGAAGCCTCATAGGGCCATGAAAATAATCTAATTTTATTTGGAATTACGATTTTGGCTTCCCATGATTATGAAAAAATATGCATCGAGTCAACAGTTATTGTGTCACATTCTGTTTTGAAGTCAAGTTATGCTCTTGTTTTGTAATCCAGCACACCTTTATGTGCTTTCGTTCTTCCCTAAATGTTTAGTTGTTTTCCTTTTCTTGTGGAAGTGTACTACAACATTTTAATATACTTATTAATATAAATACTATAATTAATGTACTATTTTAATATAATTATTATTTTTAGAATATTTTATTTAAGTGTGTATATACACATACATATATATGTTTTTTATTATTGTTTATTATTTGTATATTTTTTTTTTGTTTTTCTCTTGTATTATAATTGAAGTTCAAGGAAAGCCACTCTCAAAAAAAAATTTGTTCAATAAATGAAAAAAGGTGCAAGATCTATGAGGCGTCTATGAAACATTTCAAAATCGATGAGTTTAAATAATCGTGATGTCAATATTGAGCAAATAAAATAAACAGTTAAAGTTAAATAATCGTGATTATGATTTTTGCCATAATCAAGCAGCCCATT